ACAGACAACCTCTCGTCAATATGCGTTTTCTGCATTGCATAGCTGCAAAAAACGCATAAAAATTAAGTCAAGACGGCGCAATAAAAGTAACTGTTACGAATAATGAGCACAGTAATGATAGCAGTGAATAATAATGATGGCAATTTTTAGTAGTAATAATAGTAGTAGTAGCAGCAATAATAGTGATAATAATAATAATAGTAATAATGATGATTATAAGAATAATAATAATAACAATGATAATAATAATAATAATAACAATAATAATGATAATGATAACAATAATAATAACAATAATGATGTGCTAATGATAATGACGATAATAATAATAACAATAATAATAATAATAATAATAATAATAATAATAATAATAATAATAATGAGGGTAATAATGTAATGATAATAATAATGTTAATGATAATAATAATGTTAATGATAATAATAATGTTAATAATAATAATGATAATAATAATGCCGACAATAGTAGTCACAATCATCATAATCATCATAAGCACAGCCATTTTAATCACGATCTCAAAATCATAATTATCATGATCATAATCACCACAATCGTAGTCATCATAATCATCATAGTCAATCATAATCATCATAGTCATGATCGTCATAGTCAATCATAATCACCATAATCGTAATTATAATCATCATAATCGTAATCATAATGATCGTAGTCATAATCATCGTAATCATAATCATCATAACAATAACCATAATCGTAATCGTAATAATGATAATCATTATCATCATGATCATAATCACAATCATGATCACAGTCATAATCATAATCGCAATCGTAATCATGATCACAATCGCGACCAGAATCATGATCCTAATCATACTCGTAGTCATAATCGTAATCGTAACCGTAATCAGGACCGTTATCACAATCATGATCGTAATGATCATCATAATCGTGATCATAATCATCGTAGTCGTAATCGCAATCATAATCACAATCGCAATTATCATAATCATAGTCGTAATTATAATCATTATCACCATAATCATAATCGTGATCACAATCGTAGTCATCGTAATCAGTCATGATGGTCATAATCATAGATATAATCGTGGTCATCATAATCATAACTGTAATTACAATCATCATAATCGCAATCACAACCATAATCATCGTAATCATAGTCATGGGCATCATAATCGTAATCATCATAATCATAGTCGCAGTCACCATAATCGCATTCATCATAATCATGATCATGATAATTGTAATCATCATAATCACGATCAACATAATCATATCGTAATCATAGTCAGCCATCATAATCACAATCGTAATAACCATGATCGTAACCACAATAATAATCATCATAATCACCGCAATCATAATCACAACTGCCATGGTCGTAATCACAATCATAAACATGATTATAATGATCATAATCGTATTCGCAATCGTATTCATTGCAATCAATCTTAATCATGATCATTATCATCATAATCATCGTAATCGTCATAACCATAATCATAACCGTAATAGCGGTCACAGCCGTAGTCGTGATCATCATAATCATAATCGTCGTAGCCATAATCATCAAAATCATAACCATATCCGTTATCTTAATCGCCATAATCATAATCATGGTCATCATGATCACAATCGTCGTAATCATAGTCATCAACTATAATAGCCATGATAATCATAACCACCATGGCCGTAGTCATAATCGTCATAATCATAATCGTAATCGTCGTAATCATGATGATGACCGTAGCATGTTCGTGGTCATGCCGTAATAATCGTAATCATGGTCATAATCATAATCGCAACCATGGTAGTCACTGTCGGAACCATAATCACGATCGTAATTGTAATTTTATTTATTATCGCGACTGTAATCATAACCGTGATTATAATCGTAATCATAATCACTATCATGATCATAATCATAGTCTTGGCATAATCATGGTCGTAATCATAACCATGACCATAATCGCAATCAGAATCATGAACCTAATCATTGTCGTTGTCGTAATCATTGTCGTAGTCATGACCATAGTCGTAGTCATAATAGTAATCATCACAATCATGATCATGATCATCGCAATCGTAACCACAGTCATCACGATCATGGTCATCGTTATTATAATCGTAATAGCAACCATAACCATCTTAATCGCAATCACAGTTATAATCATGATCATAACCATGATCGTCATAATGATGATCATAATCGCGATCACAATCGTGGTCATCGTAATCAATCAATCGCGATCATAATGATCATGATCATGAACATAGTCGTAATCATTATCGCGTTCATATCCGTGATCGTCATCATAACCGCAGTCACAAACATAACCATCATAATCGTAGTCATAGGCATTGCAATCATAGTCGTAGTCATCATGATCATAATCACGGTCATCATAATCACAATCATTATAAGCATGACTATCATAGCCGTAATCACGATCGTGTCTATCATAATCGTTATAATCGTGATCGTCACAATCATAATTGTGACCATAATCGTAACTATAATCATAATCATCTTAATCGTGATCGTGGTCGTGACCATGGTAAATATTGTAATCATGGTCGTGATCACCATAGTCATGATCGTAGTAATCATGATCATGATTATAGTCTCAATCAATCATGATTATGGTCGTAGTCTCAACCGTGGTAACCGTGATCGTAGTCATGATCATAATGGTGATCATAACCACAGTCGTAATCAGTCATGATCATGATCGCAATCGTATTTAGCATCGTAATCGTAGCCAAAACCGTAATCACATTCATAATAGTAATCAAAATCGTAATCATCGTGATCATAATCGTCGTAATCATGATCGTAGTCACAGTCATAATAATCGCAATCACTATCACCATCGTCATAATCATGGTCGTGATCATAATCGCGGTCATGATAGTCGTAGTCATAATCGTCATGGCCATAATCGTAATCATCATAGTCAATCATCGTCGCGGTTGTCGTAATCGCAGTCATAATGATAGTCGTCATAATGGCAATGATCATAATCATAATCGTGATCGCAATCATAGTCATGGTCGTGTTCGTCATAATCATGATCATCGTGATCATGATCGTAATCGTCATGGTTGCAATCACAGTCATGAGTATCATAGTCATAATCATCATAATCGTAATCACAATCGTAGCCATTGCAATCAATCATAATTATAGTCACGGTGACCACGATCTCTATAATTATGATTGTGATCATGATCATCGTAATCACCACCGTAATCATAATCATAATTTTCGTGGTCGTGTCCGTGATCATAATAATCGCGATAACCATGATCATATTCGTGATCAGCATAACCATGGTCGTAATCACCGTGATCATAGTCATCGTGATCACGATCATAATCGTGGTCATCGCAATCATCGTGGTCGTAATCACGGTCGTGACCGTAGTCGTGATCGTCATAGTCATGGCCGTGATTATGATCATGGTCATGATCGCGATCATGGTCATGACCGCTATCGTGGTCATGATCAAAGTCGTAACCATGGTCACGATCGTAATCGTAGCCATAATCAAAATCGTGATTATAGTCGCATTCGCAATCATGGTCGTAATCATAGTCACGATCGCAGTCGCAGTCGTGATCATAATCGTGCCTATGATCGTAATCATGAGCGCAATCGCAATCATAGCCAAAATCATAATCGCAATCACAATCGTAATCATGGCAGCCGTGGCCGTGATCAAAATCGCAATTGTGATCATAATCGTAGTCATAACTAGCCGCATTCACTGTCGTAATCATGATCATAATCGTAATGATGGTCGTAATCGTAATCGTGATCGTGAACACAATCATAATCGTAGTCGACCGCAGCCGAAGTCATGACCGCGATCGTAATCTTAATAACAGCGGTAGTCGTGATCATGGTGATCATTATGATCGTAAGCACAGCCGTGATCATAATTGTGATCGTAGTCGTAATCGTGGTCATGACCGTCGTCGTAGTCATTATCAGCACCGTAATCATAGTCATAATCGCAATCATAATCGTCGAAACCACGATCATGGTCAATCGTAATCATCGTGATCGCTACTATAATCGTGGTAGTCATGATCATGATCATAATCGTCGTAGTCACAACCGTGGTCATAACCGTAATCAGTCGTGAAAAATTGCAAACATGATCGTGACCGTAATCATGATCATGATCGTGATCATGGTTGTAATCACAATCATAATTATGATCGCAATCGCAGTCATGATCGCAGTCGTAATCGTAATCGCTATAACAGTCACGATCGTAGTCATAATCGTGATCATCGTTATCATAATCACAATCACCGTGACCATAATCATCGTAATGATAATCGTGGTCGCAATCGTAGTCATCAATCATAATCACAACTGTCATAGTCATTGTCGTAACCATGATCGCAATCGCAATCATAATGGTGGTCGTGATCACAATCGTGGTCGTATCCGGAGTCGTGATCGTGATCACAATCGTAATCATGGTCATGGTCGTGGTCGTTATCACAATCACGGCAACGATCATGACGTTCGTAATCATAATAATCATGATCATGGTCGTAATCACAATCATGATCGCGACAGTTACAATCACAATCATCATAATCGTAGTCGTGGCCACACTCATGATCATTATAATCATATTCACAACCGTCATGGTCGTAATCATAATTGCGATCACAACCGTTGTAGTTAGTCGTAGTCGTAGTCGTCGTAATCGCAATCATCATGATCATAGTGATCGCACTAGTAGTCATCACAGTTGTAATTTTAATCGCAATCGTAGTCACTGTAATCGTGATCATGATTATCCTGACCACAATCGTCGTTATCGCATTCATAATCGTCGTAGTCGTAATCACGATCGTAATCGTCATGATCGCAATCATGGCTACGATCATAATCACCATGATTATGATGATCATGGTCATCAGGACCATGGTCATAATAATCGTAGTCGTAACCGTGACCATCATAGTCATGATCATGGCCATCGTGATTACAACCACCATAATCATAATCGTCATAGTCGTAATTGCCATGGTCGTAATCACAATTATAGTCGTAATCACCATAACCGTTGTAATCATAACGATCGCAGTCGCAATCGTGATCATAAACGTAGTCGTGATCATCACAGCCGCAGCCATAATCGCCATTATCATGATCATCGTTGTCATTATAATCATGGTCATAATCGTCATGATAATAACCACCATAACCGTTGTCGTAGTCATGATGATCATAGTCATTATAATCAGGATTGTAGTCATCGTAACCGTAACCATCATAATCACAGTCATTACAGCCGTAAGTATGATCGCAATCGTAATCGTCATAATTTCGCGATCGTCATAATGATAGCCGTAATCATGATCGTGACCATAATCGTAGTCATGATCATGGCCATAGTCGTAATCACAATCGTGATCATGGCGGTGAGCGTGTTCATTATCATGATCGGAATCATAATCATGATCATGGTGGTAATCGTAGCCATTATGGTAAACGTAACCGTAATCATGATCATGATCGTAGTCTCGGCCATAATCGTGATCGTAATCATGATCACGATCATAATCGTAATCGTAGTCATGGTCGTGACCGTAGCGGTGATTGTAGTCGTAATCATGATCAAAATCGCAATCGCAATCACGATCGCAATCATAATCAGAATCGTTAACACAATTATGATCATGACCACAACCGTTATAGGCATGATCGTGATCATAATCATTGTGATCATGATCGAAATCAAAAGCCTGATGATCATATTCGCAATCACAGTCATCATAAAGATGGTCGTAATCGTGGGCACAATGGTCGTATTTATAGTCATCATAGCCGTAGTCACGATCATCATAATCGCAATTGTCATAATCACGATCATAATCACCGTAGTTGCAATCGTTGCAGTTTTAATCTTAATGGTCACGGTCACAATCATCATAATCGTAACCGTAATCACAATCACAACCATCGTAATCATTGTCGTATTCACCATAGGGGCAACCATCATAACCACAGTCATCGTGGTCGTATTCACAACCATAATCATCACAACCATAATCATCATAACCGTGACCAGAATCGCAACCATCATGATCATTCACAGTCATGATCATAATAATCATAATCATGGCCGTAATCGTAATCGTCGCAATGGTAATCATAACGATCACAGTCATGCTCACAATCATAAATCACTTGTGACGGTAATTGACTATGACGATGATTATGATAATGCTGATTATGATTGTGGTGATTATGATCGTGGTAATTCTGACGATTGTGGCTGATTACGGCTACGATGAACATGGTTGTGATCATGATCATGATGATTATGATTATAAACGCAACGACTATGATCATTGTGGTCATGGTGATTATGACTGCGATTGGGATTGTGACGACCATGATTATGATCATGATCATGACCTTGATTATGACGGCAGTGGTTACAGCGATCATGGTTACGATTACGACTATGATCGTTACGACTGCGATAATCATGATTATGGTGATTCGGTTGTGGTTATGCTTACGATTTTGATTGTGATGATTATGGTTATGATTACCACTATGATGATTGTGGTGGTCATGATTACGATGATCATGGTGACTATGACTACGATTACGATTGTAATTATGGTGATTATGACGGTTATGATTATGATGAGCTCGATTGTGGTTGTGATTATGATTGTGATTGCGATTATGATGACTATGATCATGGCTACGGTTATGATGGCTGTGTTTGTGATTGTGATGGTTGCGATGACTATGATTGCAATGATTATGATCATGACTACGATGATCATGATCGTGATTACGATTGTGATAGTCATGGCTATGATCATGATCGAGCTGATTATGACTATGATGATCATGGTTATGGTTATGATAACTGTGGTTATTAGGGTCATGATTATGATTGTGATGATCATGACCATGATGATTATGGTTGTGATTGTGACTATGGTGGTCATGATTATGATCATGACGATTATTATTACCATGATCGTGATTGTGGTTATGACGGTTACGATTGCGATGACCGTGATTATAATGATTATGATCATGATGATGACGGTTGTGGTTGTGGTGATTATGATTGTGATTGCGATTACGATGACTATGATTACGATTACGATGGTTATGATTATGGCGATCGCGTTTATGATGATTATGATTATGATTGCGATTACGATAATTGCGATGATTATGATTACGACTGCGGTTACGACTATGATTGCGACTGTGATCATGATGATTATGACTATGGTCATGATTATGACGATCACGATGACTGTGGTGATTATGATCATGATGATTATGATTATCATGACCGTGACTATGATTATGATCATGGCGATTGTGATTATGATGGGCATGTTTTTGATCACGATTATGATGATTGTGATTATGATGATTAGGATTATGATGACGACCATGATTGCAATGATCATGATTATGATCATGATCGTAATAACAATTGTGGTTATGATCACGGTCGTGGTTATGATTTTGATTGTGGTGACGATTGTGATCATGGCTGTGGTTGCGACTATGACTATGATTGCGATTATAATCATGATCCTGGTTACGGTTATGATCACGATTAAGACCACGATCGTGATCATGACTATGGTTGCGACTATGCACATGATTACGGTCACGATTATGATCATGGTTGTGATTACGATTATAATTATGAATGTGGTGTTGGTAATAATAACAATGAAGATGGTGCCAAAACTTCCAAAACTGCTCGGGTTATCAATGTGAGTATTCCAGGTTAGTGAAAAACAGTAATAACAAGATTGGCGGAAGTCGGTAAAAGTTAAAAACGGTAACGAAGAAAATCGGCAATAGTGATAAAAATAATGAGAGTGGCAATAAATGAGGTAATTATAGTAAAGTAAGAAAAGTAATAATAGCTTCAGTAATGTCCGAAAAACAGTAGCAGTAATAGTGATAAATGTGGTAAAAAAATTTCGAAGCGCTAGTTTTCGTTAAAATTAACTGGATGGCTTTGGTTATATCCAGTTCAAGCGTCAAAGCATTAATATGTGTCGTACCTAAGCAACTG